GCTAGCACACGTAAAACATTACAGTACATTACTTTACAATTACATGAGTACGTTTACATGATTACATTTACACGAGTACATTTACATTGATACATTTATATAGAGATCCTGTTATAAGCATGCCTATATATGTATAGTTATATAAGTAATGTTTAAAGGACTTAGGAAGGCTATCCACCCTATTTCCTTTTCGCGCTTGAGATGTGGGTGGGATATCGGGTACCATCCAAAGGTCGTTTAAACATTAGTTATATATCATGTGTACATATATGGACATAATAGTTCCTCTCAGTCAGTTCAGTACCTTTGGGTAGCGAAGGCATACGTTCATATACTTTTACATGATTACGCTTACATGAGTACGTATACATAGATATGTTTACATGAGTGCGCTTACATATACGTTAGTAGGATAGGCATCACTAGGTGATATAGCACGGAACGAGTTCAGGATCTAACTATACCGATGAATCACAACACATTATGATAGTTAGATCGGGTATACATGAGCATAGTAATGTGGATGTTCATGGCGTGCATATACGCAGGGGTCGTGTAAAGGTCCGAAAATCCCTTTGACAGGGGAGCGTTTAGCCTGGGATCTAGCCATCACATTATGCCTTATCCCTCAAATAAGGCAATAGGAGTATAGAGGCAGTCACTTATTACAAATACTACAGTACTTACGAGATTACCCTAGACTTAAGGTAATTAGTACGGTTGTAGTTTGACACTACACCATAGTACTATTTCATTTTCCCATTATATTCACTTCGTGAACATTCACACGATGCATGGTAATGTAGAAACTATATTTTTGGTTAATGATAGTCGGATTTGGGAAAATACACACTCTTACAAGAGACACACACACAGACACTAGATGCCTTGGTAGAAGGATACGATTAGTAGGAAACATAGGGTTTCCTAGGATCATTCAAAACATTTTCATACTTACAGTTCATATACAAACAATTTCTTAGATATAAATTAAGACACTAAAATACTTATGATCTCACCAGCTTCAAAGTTGATACTCGCTTTCAAAATAACTTGTATCCTCAGGTCAACCATAGACAGGTATCGATGCAAGGTTTAGAGAAGATGCAGCTCATTCAAGACTCATCTTTCACTTTATTTATACTTTAGTGTCTATTATAATTTGACAAAACACACTTGTATTAAAATTATATTATTAATGCAATGGATGATGTTGTTTCTTGTTTACTACTTTTCATTGTTGTGATACTGTACATGACGTCCTACGCCCCAGAACGTTTCTGCCGTTCAATGGTTTTGGGGTGTGACAGAGACCCTTCAATATAAGCAACTAATCTGCTCCTCTCTTACCAATGTGCTCCAAGTCCATATCCCATTCTCAAGCTCTTGAAGTCATATCATTTAGGGTCTTGCACCCCGAGATACTCACGATCTCCCTGCTACCATTCTACAGTATGTTCTGATAACTTACCTTCTTCCTTTCCTCATTTGTTGCATATTTTGGTGCCATATAAGCTCTTTTGCGAGACTTGGTAGTGATCTCTGCCACAGTCTCAGTTGTCTAGTGGAGATTTAACAACTCTTGCGCCAACTACTGCGCCTCAATTGCCTAGGCGCACTCTGCCTATAATCTGGTCTAAAAGTCGTCCCATGACATATCATCAACCGCATCATCACTCAACCTTCTACCAACCTCTTCCTATCAATCTTGTGCTCTGTACCTCAGGAGGCAGGAAGTAAATCGAATCTTGTCTCCTTTCTAGACAACGTCTGGTACAAAAAGTGTTGGTGACATCTGCCAACTATCTGTTGCTAACAATGGGGTCCTTAACCCCATGACAATATGAAGCCTCACAAACTCTGAATTCCCGAAACATCAACGTACGGGTCCCTATCATCATTGCTATCTCAGTGCAGAATGCACTCGGCCTCCCATCACAAATCTCTATAATGCCCTCCTTGATCATACTAAGGATCACAAGAGTTTGGTTAATGATACTACGCACAATCTCAGATGGAATGAACTCCCTCATCTGATCATCGAGCTGCCATGCTATAGAGTCCGAGCTTGATCCCTCGTCGACACCAAAGCTGCCATCTGGTCTACCACGTAGTGCCACTATACTCGGTAATATACGATCACTAACATCACAATACTTATCAAATCTCAAAGGATATCGCACACTACAAGTTCTCTGATCTTATCTCGGCCTTCCTTGATTCGAGTACGGATCCTCTGCTTTAAGTAGTATGGGCCCATACTTTCTTCCATATCTATTCGTACTTTCCTCAAGAACTGCCTTGACTCCACCAAGTCCCTTCTACTGCTACTACTCTCTGCTATTCTCATCCTAGGCTTGCCCTAGGGTAATCACCAACCCACTCTCTGCCATCAGCTGCATAAGAAGTCACTGCTTTCTTCCCCTAACTAGCTCGCGAATACTATTACATATTACTCAGACTAGATGATTCTTCAAATGAGAGATCCTACCTTACAACGGTTAGACTCAAACAAGAGTTGCGAAATAGAGCTAGACCTAAGCTTCTGAAATTATTTAGTCCTTGCAATATGCAACTTAACATATTCATTTACTAGTTAGTGAAAGACAACTAGAACTCCTAAAAGCACAAAGCAAACAACATTCGGACATCGAGTACACATAATCAAGCATATACTACTCAAGCTATCATGTTGACTAATCTGTACTAGCATGCAGTTCTCATAAAGTCGAATCACATATAACAGGTGTAATTTGGGAATACTTACTTGAGCTCGGCTGATTGCATGCACCACACCCTTTGTCTCTTTTGAAAGTTCTTTTCTTTCTAAAAATCCTTTTCGCTTTTCTAAAACTCTTTTCTTTTAAAAACTTTATGCCACTTCCTTAGTTTGAGTTCAAACACACCCAAAATTGTGCCCGAATCCCTCAAACCAAGGCTCTAATACCAACTTGAAACATCCCAAAAATACAAGCCAATAGTTTTGTTTGAAAACATTACTAAAACCATAATATCCAAATATCATATAAGAAAACCATAAGTTGTGTGTCTCAAAATGTCATGAAATATGTCTCATATCAAAACTGATGTCAAGATCATGTCAAAAATATCAGAGTCTAACTCCCAGGCTAAAACTGTGGTGTGTGTCATGCCATCATCCCGAGCCCTTCCCCTTGCTAGCTGAAGTACCTGAAACCAAAACTGAAACTGTAAGCACGAAGCTTAGTGAGCTCCCCCAAACTACCACATACCATGCAATAACAAATAAAGCACATACTCGGCCTTGCCCACTGCATCGGATCGAAGTCTGGAACTGACTAGGGCCTTGCCTACTGCATTGGACCAAAGCCCGGAACTAACTAGGGCCTTGCCCACTGCATCGGACCGAAGTCCGAAACTAACTAGGGCCTCGCCGTGTGCATCGGACCCGAGTCCGGAACTGACTAGGGCCTTGCCCACTGCATCAGACCGAAGTCCGGGACTAACTAGGGCCTCGCCCTCTGCATCGAACTGGAGTCCGAAACTGACTGAACATAGCATAACATAATCATAACATAGAACAATAACTCATAAACTGCATACTGCATCAGACCGCAACCTGGAACATATAACACACAGACATGCCTAAATCACAAAGACATCAACCATATCGAACTACTGCTATCTAAATGGGCTGTCATTGTGGCCGTAGACTCGTTCCTACTGGAAGGAAACTCACCTCACATACTGAAGTCCCGCTGACAAAACCATAGCTGCTTGATGAAAGATTCCCGATCTGTCAATATCAAATAACACCCAATTAGTGATTAGGTTCCAACTCATAGTCATAAGCCCATGCTTGGGGGTAAAAGACTACTCTACCCCTAACTTGGCTTGATTCAATCCCAAGGCCCAAACCAAAGGCCCAAAGGTCCAACCATGGCTTAAAGCCCAACATATGGCCCATTTTTTCCAAATTGGGCCCAAGCATATACATGGTCTTATTCTAAGGCCCAACATCATATAATCATTAAGGCCCAAACTGTGCCCCATCTATGGCCTAATTTTCTAAATTAGGCCCAAACTCCTTACATGGGCTTTACCCTAGGCCTATTAAATTATTCTAGTCCTTATGATTATTCTTGGATGACCCATTAACAATCCAATCAAGGCCCAATAATATACCCAAGTGAAATTAGGGTTTCACATAAAATGATGATTAGGTTTAAGTTTCCTACTTAACCCATTAAGGACTTAATCCATTAAGTCCCACATGGCCTTAGGTTAATTTGCAATGATTATTAACTAATATCTCAAGTTACCACATATTTCCAGTGTGTCCTGATTAATTCCCCAAATTAGGGTTCTATTGGCATTAGGGTTTTTCCAACCCACAATAGCCCATTAAACCCATTAGCTAGGTCCTTTGACCAATTAGGGTTCATTGGGCCCATTATGATTCTACTAGGCCCTTTAGGGTTTCACTAAGCCCATTAGTTACATGCTTGGGCTTTTAGGTCCATTAAGCTTTATTAGGCCCATTAGGGTTTTAGTCCCTTGTCCAAACATCCCAAACTAGTTACTATCTAACAAGGTACACCGCCACTCGACACGGCGGTCGGTGGCGGAAGGAGGCGGCAGCCAGCACCCTATGGTGGTGGTTTGATTTTTCCTTACATTATTCCAATTTTGCAATTTACAATAAAATCTCAAATAAACACACACTACACTAATACAAACACACATAGATGACAACCTAATGACGGTCGGCGGTGGCTCTTCCCGAGGATTCCAGCTAAACACAACACACACTTCCACAGAAAACACACCCACACATAAGTCTTTCCCAGAACAGAAGCACCTCCACCCTTTTGGTGGTGACAAGAGTGGTCTTGAAAAAACAGCCACCACCTCACGATGGTGGCGGAGGTTCCTTGTTTCCTAGCCGAGTAAACACCACACATACTTGCAAATACAATCTGAAGACCGAAGCATTCCCTAACTTAGCCACTACAAGTGGCATGCGAGGACTGGAACCCAAAAAAGATGGCCAAGACCCACCATCGATCTCAGCCGACATTCACGACGTAAGGCCACCAAAAGAACGAAGAAGAAAGTGTAAGTGGGAGGCGATGATCCCGCTGAAAGCTCTCTGGTGGCTCACGAATCACACAGTGATGAACGCCACTGATATTCCTTAGTTTTGGAAATTCTCTAGTGCACATTAAGTCTCCGGTGGTGAAGCTGTTGAGGCTTTAGACGGCGAAGGAGCGGCGTTTCTGGTTGTTTACGGTTCCACAGCGACGACAACTTCTCCAAACTCTAACCATTGTTGCTTCGTTCGACTGGTCTCGGTGGTCAACCATGTACAGCTCGAAGCCCGGTCTCGTTTGGTCCTTGTTGCTCATGGTGTCGCCGGCAACAGATGGTGACCTGGTTTGATCAGAATCGTGAGTGGAAGGGAGGTGGCGGTTGGGGAGTCACAAGGTGAAGAGGGTGACTGCTCAATCCAAGAATGCTAGGGTTAGGGTTACGGAGGTGGTAACCTTGTATACCCGGTGCCTTATAACATATCCCCATATTAACATAATCGATCCCTCCTTCCTTATTTTCTTTCAAAATAAGTTCATCTTTTACACTTTTAACCTTGCCTTTAGAAATCTTTACAAACCGAATCCAAAACATACATTTTAAGCCTTGATCCCATAAATTTCTTTCATAATAGATCCCTAAATTACCAATAAACCCTTCAGCCTTCAAATCTTTTCAATTTAAGTCCATAAATTACCCAACACACCCTAACCTCCAAAAATTCTATTCAGTTTAATCCCAAACTTACTCCTTTAACCCCGACTTCTAAAATTCATCACAAATTAGTCCGGGACTCACATTTTACTAATTTATTTAAATAAACAGGGTGTTACATGTGTGTACTTTCTTTACTATTCAATTGTTATGATACTGTACATGACGTCTTTCACCCCCGAATGTTTCCGTTGTTCAGGTTTGGGGGTGTGACATGTGGGCACCCTTTTGAAGGTATTAAGTTGTTTTCTTGGCCTCATTTCATCTTAGATGTCATTTGGTGGATTTTTGGAAACTTTTCTTGTGGTTGAGCTAAGATCTTAAGTTGCAACTTCAGATCTGAGCTTTCTTTGGTCTCTAGGTCCATAAAGTTAGCTTTGATAAGTATGAGCCTCCCCTCAAGTGCAAGACTTATTTGCAAGCTTAGTTTTGTCATTTTAAGGCTTTAGAGCCTTGCATGCACGTAAAGTTTGCAACTTTACATTATAAGCATGCCTTGGGAAGTTGGATCTACAATATGGAGCCTTTACATGGCTTAAAAAGCATCTATATGGATGAAAGACTGAAGGGACTCAGCGAGTGGCATGGTCAACTCGATGAGTCCGATGAAGATTGTCGTTGGCTCGGTGAGTCGGAAGAGTGACTCGACGAGTCGGCTAGGGTTTTCCCAACCTTTGGACATGTATGAACTTGGCGAGTTGCAAGGGAAACTCGACGAGTCGGACAAGGAGTTTACGGTTGCAAACCTTAGGAACTCTACGAGTCACCTAGTGACTCGGTGAGTTGGCGAGTTATGCAAGGAACTCGACAAGTAGCTAAGGGTACTCAACGAGTTGAGGTCAACATGGATTGTTGACCATGGCAGTTGACTTTGACTTTGACCAAGGGTTGACCAGTTGACTTCTGGGGACATTTTGGGAGATTGGAAATTTACAGCAGGGTTCCATGGTAATTATAGGTGGTGGAGTTTGTGTCGGTGATCCGAGAGTTTGAGCTTATCCTTCGAATCGATAGTTGCGAGGTGAGTTATCCTCACTATATCAATAGGGTCTAAGGCACCAAGGCCGGCCCTTTGTGGATTATATATTGTTATGGTATGATATGTTTATTGGTTTGCATCCTGGTAGTTAGGATGAGGTTATGTTTATGCTTAGTGACCTGGTTAGGTCGGTGTCCTGGTTATAGGATGGTATTATGTGATATGTTGGTACGATATGTTAGATTGGTATCCTGATAGATAAGATGGTATTATGTGCTATGTGGTATGATCTCTTTTGATCAGTTTGTTGTCTATAGACTCTTATGTGATTATCTATTATATGTGCACATGTTTGTTTGGTGGTTGAGGCTTATCTGCTTTATGCGAAAGCCAATAAACCTAGGCATTCCAACCAGTTGGTTGTGGGCCATGAGTATTCAATCCCAAGGATGATTGGACTCATAGTATGTGGGCATTCCAACTTGTTGGTTGTGGGCCTGGGGGTATTCCATCCCGAGGATGATTGGACCCATAGTATGTTGGCATTCCAACCGATTGGTTGAGGGCCTGGGGTATTCCAACCCGATGGTTGACTGGACCCATAGTATGTTGTTTCTGATTATAGGTGTATTATCATGGGTATGGGTATTTTGGGGGAACTCACTAAGCTTTCAGGCTTACAGTTTCAGTTTCTTTTTTCAGGTACTTCTGAAGATCGTGGGAAAACGAAGGCATGATCGTACCGCTCCTCCTACTATTATGATTTTTATGATTTGATACAGGGATACTCTGATATTCATTCTTTTGAAAACAAACTACGTAATGTTAAATGGTTTTTAAGTGTGTTGAAAAGTTTTAAATTGGCTTAAATTTTATGGGTGTTACATCCATGGTCATAAAGTTTGCACCTGTATGCCATGGAACCCCTCCTATATCCCAGATCTAAAATATGAGTCACTTAGGATGTCCAAATCCCAAAGACTAAGGTTCTTGAACCAAAGGCCTCATAAAATGGAAGTAAATAGATCTAAGAAAAGAATGATCAAGTTAGAAACTTGATTACCAGAAAATGTAGCAAATGGAATGTAGCTTCTGGATCGACTCCTTCCCTCTTGAGCCCTCTATCTTCTTCTTCTTTACAAGCTTCAAAAGTGCACAAAGATCACTCAAAATGGCTCACACACTCAAGGAAAGCTCTAGGGTTTCGTGGATTAGGTTTTAGGACAAGGAGGCTGGAAATGAAGCCAATGGGTGGGGATTAAGATGCTTAAATAGGGTGCAAAATCCCGAAATTAGGGTTTTAGCCTGGCCGAGCTACTCGTTGAGTCGGGGATCTCGACTCGTCGAGTAGATAGCTCAAACTCCGCGCATACTCGGCCCTCTACTCGACGAGTTTGGGTCACCAACTCATCGAGTCCTTCTTTCAAAATAAATAAATAAATGAGTTAAATGCATACTAGGAACCAGGCGTTACATATATGCATTGTTTATGTGATATGTGGTATACTAGTTTATGTGATATGTGGTATACAAGTTGTTTATGTGATGTGTGATATGCTAGTTGTATTTGTGATACTTATGTGAAAGACCATGGGGGGAGCCCATGACACTTGGATGTCAGACCATGTGGGGGAGTGATATGTGCATAATTAGTTAATCATTTAACATATTTTCTTAGTTATTTTTGGTCAGTTATGAGAATAATTTGGACAAAAGGTACTTAAAATGCTTTGAATTGTGTTTTCAGTCCAAAAGATATGCTTGGAGGCAAAAAGGAGAAAAGGAAAGCAAGAGAAGATTAAAGGGTGAAAAGAAAGACATACTCGGCGAGTACATCGGCCTTACTCGGCGAGTACACGATGAGATGCTAGAAGATATGTACGACTGCTAATCTGAAGACGGATAAGTATTGACCTACTCGGCGAGTTGATTCTGCTACTCGCCGAGTAGCCTCTGTTTTGAGATATCTTTATAAGATGAATCCTTATCACATGGGACAGAACTCCTGGCGAATTTTGAAGGATTAGCTGCGACTAAAAGGTTCAGAAGGCGTTGGAAAACCCTAAGCTTCAAGAGTTGGAAGAATTCAAGTAACTAGGTTGATTCTACCACTTAGACTTAGGAATTAAACATGTTTGCTTTCATACACTTTGTTTTTATGCTTGTTTCTACTGCAACTATGAGCTAAACTCGTTTTTGTTTCTGTTTGGGGAATACCAAGGAACTCCTATGGTTTAATTATTGAATTTTGTTTAATTATCTATTGGTGATTTATTAGATTAAGTTTGTTAAAGAACCTTATGTGTTAATCACTACTATTTTCTGTTAATTGGAAGGCAATTAGGTTGCATGAACATCACCTAATTGTTAACCTCATATGTCTATGTGAATGCTAAAACGTATGCTTGGAAGTAATGAATATGAAACTAAGATTAATAAGAAAATAGGAAGATTAATGTGTGAGCTTGTTGAGAAACCATCAGCAAGAGGTTAATTGAATTGATAACTTAATTGACCATTACAAATCTTATTTAATCCAAATAATTAATCTAGGGAATTAATTAGTTTAAACACTTGATCAACGCTTAAATTAGTTAATTGTCTAAGGGTTAGGAGTAATGAACATGAACCTAACTATTATTCTTGGTAACCAATAGCAATTAATCTACCTTAACTTAAATAACCATAGGAGTGAATTGGTTGAACCTAAATAGAAACATCTTTATCAAATTTGGTGAATAGTTGTTGCTTTAGTTAATTAGTTAAATTCAGCTTGCTTAAGTTTCTAGTCTTGCAAAACTAGAGAAAAACCATTTACTTTTATTATTTGTTTAGTTAAAATTAGCTATTAGTTTAATTTCCGTTCCCTGAGTTCGATACCTTACTTATCAATCTATACCACTTAAAGACAGGTTCACTGCCTTTGTGTGCTTAAATCATTAATAAAAAGTAGGGATAAAACTAGTTGAATTTACACACATCAAGTTTTTGGCGCCGTTGCCGGGGAACGGTTCTAAATAGTTAATTTTATTTGCTAATTGTTATCATTTTTTTATTTTATTTGTTGATTAATTTTTTTTATTTAGTTTAATTTTTTATTTTTATTTTTATTTATTATGTATTTTCCAAATCTCGATGCTTTTGATGCTTTTCTTGAGGAAGTAGTACAGGAAATTGAGCAAGGAGATGAGGAGTATGACTCAGATGAAGATTTGCAGAAATTTGGAAGATGGTTAGATAACATCTTGCCCAACACAGAAGGGACATCTGAGTTACAAGATGAAGAATTTAATCCAGAAAGAGACTTGGAGGAGCTGGAAAGATTGCTAGCAGGAGGGTCAGATGAAGAACAAGAACAAGCTGAATTGCAGGAACCAAGCTGTGGTTTGACCATTACCACGACATGGCCCCCTGTATTTTTGGTTTGTGTTTCGAAGCATGGGGTGACGATTCCAACTTTGGAGAAAGTTCTGAGGCACGATCCATTTTTGATTAGTATCCAACCGGTTCCAACCCTTGTCAATATTCTTGGGTTTTATGAATTCAAGCTCGTTTGGCCAATTTTAGAAGAAAAGAGCCAAATTTTACAAATTGGTCCAAAGAAAATATTTAATGCAACGGATGGATTGGCATCGAATTTATTAGAAG